GTAAAGCATGGTGGTGGCAGCATTATGTTATGGGATGCTTCTCATCAGAAACTTGTCAGGATTGAGGAGAAAAATGGATGGTGCAAAGTACAGGCGAATCCTAGAAGAAAATCTGCTTGAGTCAGTCAAGAATCTAAAACTGGGTTGAAAATTCACATTTCAGCAAGACAATGACCAGAAGCACAAGGCCAAAGCCACACTTGTGTGGTTTCAAAAGAAGAAAGTGAATATCCTGGAGTGGTCCAGTCAAAGTCATGACTTGAATCCAATAGAAAATTTATGGCGAGATCTGAAGATTGCAGTCCATCAACAATTCCAACAAACGAACTTGTCAGAATTGGAGCAATTTTTCCAGGAAGAATGGACAACAATTACATCATCCCATTGTACAAAGCTGGTAGAGACCTATCCAAAAAAGACTCACAGCAGTAAGTACTGCCAAAGGTGCTTCCACCAAATACTGACTTAGGGAGCTGAATACTTATACAATCAATAACTTCTTATTTATATTTTTTTCTTCGCAGGTTTTGATGACTTACAACCTTCTTCACACATAACAGCGTTAAGTTTGATCATTAGAGTTTTGAATAAAAACAAGTTCATAAAAAACAGTGTTTACATTATTTGTATTTCATAAAAATGTGACATTATTAGTAGGGGGTGAATACTTTTGCCAGTATAAAATAATTTTTGGATATAACACTAAATTCAGAAACGTTCACTGGAAACAAAAGTAGATAGATAAATAGAAACGCATATATATATATACAGACAATTGTAACTAAAATACAGTCTCTGTGTGACATTGACCACAAAAAGTCAAATCCATCTGGTGGACACAAGCACAAAAAACAAACTTTCATCTTTACCTTGGTAACACGTTCATCTGAAGAACGTCGTGTTCATCTTGATCAATCACTAAAAAAACGCCCCCTAGTGGGACAGAGGTATGTCTGTGGACTTACAATGCAAGAATCCGGGTTTCGATACCCGTGGTGGGCAGAGCACAGATAGCCCATTGTGTAGCTTTGTGCTTAATTACAAACACACTCTAAGAATTCGTTTGGCAATCAGTCAGATACCAAATCAACTGGTGACATATAATGGCTGGAGACGGCTTAAATGGGTAATGAAGAAAAACTGGTGACATGTTCGTCTGAAGAACGTCGTGTTCGTCTTGATCAATCACTAAAAATCGCCTCCTAGTGGGACAGTGGTATGTCTGTGGACTTACATAGCGAGAATCCGGGTTTCGATACCCGTGGTGGGCAGAGCACAGATAGCCCATTGTGTAGCTTTGTGCTTAATTATAAACACACTCTAAGAATCCGTTTGGCAATCAGCCAGATACCAAATCAACTGGTGACACGTTCGTCTGAAGAACGTCGTGTTCATCTTGATCAATCACTAACCCCCCACCCCCCTAGTGGGACAGCGGTATGTCTGTGGACTTGCAATGGGAGAATCCGGGTTTCGATACCCGTGGTGGGCAGAGCACAGATAGCCCATTGTGTAGCTTTGTGCTTAATTACAAACAAACTCTAAGAATCTGTTTGGCAATCAGCCAGATACCAAATCAACTGGTGTTTAGTTGACGATTTTCAGAAATTTCATTACACTTCAGTTGAGTTTTTACATAAACAGACAAAAAAAAAAGAGAAACACAGCTAAAATACAGAAAGTTGAACAGTAGTTAACAACAAGGGTCGACTATACTTGAACTCTAGGGGGTCTTTATCATAACCGTTTAGCCCACGTGCGCATTAGGTGTCGTTCATTCTGAAAATTTCCAGTTATACTTGTTCTTAGGTGTATTATTATTATTTTTTTAATACAACTGGCAGATAAAAAAATCGGATATATCTCACAAATCTGTTGTTGTATCTATGTATGTATGTATCTATATATGTATGTGTCTGTCTAAAAATTAATAATCCTAAATAGAACATTTCCTGTCAGTCATTACACCCGACCCGTGACTGTATCTTTCAAGGTAATTTGGAAATTAAAAAAAAAGTTTCAGTACAATTTTGGACTCGTCTATATTCTAGTTATTCTAGCCACGGGTGTATTTATTGTTGATTTTTCTTGGCTGTTTATCATTGTTTGTTTGTTTTATAATAACAGAAAACTTGAATATACCGTATTTTTCGGTGTATAAGACGCACTTTTTTATCCCAAAATTTGATGTCAAAATCTGCTTGCGTCCTATACACCGAAGGTATGAATAATATATATATATATATATACGATATACACAAGCCATGTGTAAATATATTTAAATAGGCATGCATAGTTTAGTTCAATTTAATGTGTTATTTATAACAATAGTAGTTTTTTAAACACAACTATTTATAATGCTCCCTAGATAATAAAAAATAGATTATAGTAATGGAGTTAGTAAAGTTAG